GGGGGTGGGGGGGTGGGCGGCGGGCGCGGGGCCTAATCCTAATGATGCACAAAAACGACTAATTTTGAAATCTGTTAGCTAAAACTTTTATTGAGATGATGATCAACTTCCAAGAAAACTAATTTAAATTATGTGAGCACTACAACATCTGTTCAGATTTTATTTTTCACCACGATTTCAGAACATCTTGTACCTTTGATAATACATAGAGCAATCATTGAAAATAAAGAGCACTTATGGGTAAGGGTACGTGTAGCTACCAATGTTTGAGTTGGTAAGTAGCCATCGCTTCGTCCATACCCAAGCTAAAATTTTTAAGATACTCTAATGACTATGTTAGTCATTCGTAGGCCAAATTGTGGGTCGAAATTCATTGATTTGCTTTTTCATGTTAACCGCCTACGTTGTTTCCTATCTATGACCGAAAGAGGAGCTGAAAGCGATTGAACACCTCAAGAGTTTTTGTTGTAAGATCGATTCAATTATTCTGAATTGTAAACTTTCAGAATATCAGTTGTTATTCGATACAGAGAATTTTTCGGTAACTTTATATATTTCTTCTTGTTCACTTTTTCCAATCAGACACTTAGACAAGGTAGAACACCCACGATTCACTCGTAATTCGGAAGACGAAAAGGTGATGACAGCGTCATAATTCCATTATTTACGATTTTGGAGAAAAAACTCTAAAGATCATTTGAGAATTCTAGTTCACACGGTTCTGCCCTTGAATTCAAAAATGATCTCAGAAATCCAAATGGAAGACTCGAAGAACTTTTTTCTTTCTGTAAAAGATGACACCAGGAAATGATTATTAAAGACTATATCACCCTCAACAATTACTGTCTCAAATTGTCCCATTATCAGTAGAGATATTACTTTACTTTTATTGCTCTTTATAATAAAGAATTAATATAAATAATAAATAAATTTTTCATGGAAACCTAATTTTTAGGTTTGTAACAGGTAGCTCACAAAAATGCATAATATTATAAATACAAATAGAATGTAAAGAAAAGCTTTTTTTGCATACATTTTGCCATGTATCAGCTTCAAGTTTTAGTAATATGACCATGTGGAAGAGATGGTAGTGATAAGAAAGAATATTGATTAACATATTCACTTTCTTATACTGAATATTCATTGATATACATATCACCCGAACAAATCTTTCTTCATTCTTTGTTCTACCTTATTTATATTTGATACGTATAAAGCTTTTATTTACTGCATTTTTAAAATAATAAAAATTTATTTGTTTATGTATTTTTATTTTTTCAAAAATAAAGAATTTCTTTATCTTCATGTTACAAATATAAAGACTACATTTATATTCATCTTATAAAGTAACATTCCTCGTCATCGTACACATCTTAATAAAATAAATGCTTTTTTTCTGCCCGGAGATACTTTACGTCTGCATCGTTCATTGAAGCAGAATTTGCCGCTTTATTACTTGTCATTGGTGTAAATACTCACAACATCTGTTAGAGCATCAGAGAAAATTTTTCTTTCTCATAAGTAGATTCTGCGGCGTGCGCAGAAGAATAAGAAAGCCGAAAGAAAAAAGTGTTAAAAAAATGAAATCGTTGCTTCTCTTCTTCCTACCAAGATGTTTTGACACATCGCTAGTCAAGAGAAACATTTCTTGTTGTCTCTGCGCAAATGTTGCACATTCATATAAGTTTTTAGAATCTAAAGTAGCACAAGACAAAATAATCCCTATGCGATTCTATGACAAACTTCAATTAAAGACCAATGAAAATGATGTTAACGATTCAAATACACAGAACTCGTGATAAATAGGCATATCATAAATGAATTTTCACCTTTTCTAGATTTTCATGACTATGCCATCGGACATTTATCAACATTTGATTCTCGTTGATTGTGATGGTGGTCGTGGTAGTATATTTGATGATCTGACGCTTCTTAAAGATTTGCCAAACAATTGTTTGCTGCATTTATTTTGGAATAATAGTGATGTTGCTATTAATGAAAAACTTCAGAGATTAAAAACAAATGCTCAATGCCATTTACATCCATCGCTTTTGCTTAATGTGAAGAATTCAGCCGATGCAGAACTTATTTACTTCCTAGGCAAGTCAGTTATTCAATATTCATCGATTATAATTGTTGGAGAGGGCGATGAAATTTATCGTGAAGTAGTGGAATCAGTCAACAAGGATTTTGGTAAGAAAAAAACTATTGAATTAGTAAAAATTGATGATTCCAAATCTTGCTTACTAAAATTGATTGAACAAATGCGTAAACGCAACAATGAAAATGATTATTGTGAAGAAAAATATAGACTTGTTCAAGGTTTACCCTATGCCAAATGTCCTTTATGTACTAAGGCATTTAAAACGATTGCTGCACGCAATGCGCATTTACAAGCAAAAAGTCATAAACAGAAATTGGTAACAAACTTGATGACAGATATTAAACCTGAGCAAAAGATTCTTCAACCAAATATGTCAACGAAAACGACTGAAACAAAGACAAAAACCTTACAATGTCCGCATGCACCCTGTTCTGTCAAACAAAAGAAATTCAATAAGAAAGGTCTCAAACAACATAACAAAGATGTTCACTCAAAGTTGGAGATGAATTTCTCAAATGGTTCTTCTCTTGTTCCACATTGATTTACTTTATGAACTTTTTTCTCACTAAAAAACTGCCCTTGTTGAACATCATGCAAGCAAGATCTTGTCCAAGATACAAGGTACAGAAATGATAACAGATCTTGGGTACAGATTTATAAGATCTAGATTAAAATACGCATCTTCCGAAAACGATCACCAGATCTCATGTATAAATGCCTTTAAGAACTTCTAAAACAATCTATCCGATGTAAAATTTAACGCTGAATCTGAATCTCAAGTCGAATTTCTGCTAGAAACACAGCTAACGAAGTTAGAGACTAATTCTTAGTTCCAAAGATTTCGAAATTCTCGCTCTGATGGGCATTTATGAATAAAGATCATTTTTTCTGAACAATTCGCCACAATCTAGTTTCAATCAGGGACAAAATAATATTTAGCAACTATTAATAAGTCAAGATCTTGCCCAAGATCTAATTGCAGACCTTGGAATAAGGTAATATGATTATCTTGTACCTAAATTTTCAAGACCTGTTAAAATTTCTGTACTTTCTATCTTGGCTAAGATCTTCTTTACAAGATGTTCGACTAGGGTGTTTATCATTGATGTATTAGAATAAATCACAATAAAATAATCCTCCAACTAATCTTGATTTGGTTTCAAAATTGTAAGAATCTATCGGAAATGTGAATCTAAGATTCGGTTTTATTTTATCCATGATTGAATAGAATGCGGCAAGAAAATTCTAGAAAGACGGAAACACTTTTTGATACGCAGGTGCTCCTTCAAAATTATCATTCCAGTTTTGATTAATGCTACACTAAGCGAAATAATCCTGTCTGAGTAAGATTTAGAAATTAATGAACAAAATGCAAGACGGACATTTTTCTTCGTTTTGCTCAAATATTTCATAATACGAATAACGCTCTCTCGACTTCTTCCTCATTTGTGAAAATACTCGTATGAAAGACAATTGATTTCGCTCTGATTATATTTCGTTACAGATCATGCTTCAATTATCGTTTGGTATTGAAATATTGCGTTCATTGCATCTTATTAATAATCCTTTGAAAAGATGGTGTTCTTTGTCTTCCTTCTTTGATGCTCGGGGTGTGGGTGTGGATGTGGGTGTGGGTGTGGGTATGGGGTGTAGATGTGGGTGTGGGGTGTATGGGTGTGGGATGTGGGTGTGGGTGTGGGTGTGTGGGTGTGGGTGTGGATGGGTGTGGGTGGGGGTGGGTGTGAGTGTGGATGTCGGTGGGTGTGTGGGTATCGCTGAGCTTGAGGGTGGGTGTGGGTGTGGGTGGGGGGGTATCGATGATCTGGGCGGGGAAGGT